TTTAAATTTTTTAAAATTAGTTATTTTTTTTTAAAATCTTATGTGATTTGAAATTTATCTGCGATTTGTAGATAAAAATGAAAATGTGCATAAATATGGGGTATTTGTTAATGTTTGAAAATTGTATAACAAATTTTTTGTTAGCTATGATTAATACAATAAAAATGGGAAAGGCAATAACCTAATTCTCGGATTTAAGATTGAAGGTGGAAAAAACAGTAACTTTGGGGGCATCAAATTAAACTTTTTGTTGCTAGAAATATTAGAAAATGACCTTTTACATGAACAAAAAAAATGTTAAAGCTGATGGTGTTTACATATGTGGGGGCCCCCACCGAGTGACGTGAGTGGGCGGTTTTGGGCTTCCGCCTGTGCCCCATTTTGAAGGGCAATAACAACGTACGAGATGACTCGAAGCGCACAAAAAGCCACCATTAATGGCATTAGCTAACAAAAGTTAGTGTCAGTACTCCGGATACGTTATTTTCAGTCATTTTTCAATCTGCGCTGCCGTTTTTAAGAGAAAATGCCCTTTCTGGTTATTTATGAGTAGTTGCATGCACCTGTCTTTTTTACCAGCCAAAACAATAACAATTTATCGCGATATAAAAAATTTATTTAAAAAACTTTGTTTAAAACTTTACTAATTAAATTTAAATGTTTTTAATTTGACTCTACATAATTTTTTTTTAAAAATGATCAATGATCTATATTTTTATTAATTCGGTTATGAATTTTGAATATAGTTTCAATTAATTAAAATAATCGAATAAATCATTTTTATAATAAATTAATATCAAAATTGAAAAAATTTAAATTGAATTAACTTAATTGAATCAATTTCGATTTACATATATTAATTAATGTTAACCATTAGCTACAACATGGGATCTTCTACCCTGGCGGCTCTGTACTTCTTCTGCCAATGTTTCCAGGCTTCCCAACATATGCAGTGAAGCAAATTAACAAATTTTAATCCATCCAAGATTCACTATACCATTAGTAGGATGCTAGCAAAGGCTGGGCGGGGGGTTGGGGTGAGGGGGTGGCGGGGCGGCTGTGGGAGGGACTAGAGGCCACAGCGCCTGTCAAACGTATCCCTGGTCGTGTGTCCTTGTCAATATAGGAAAAAGCTCGTTCCAGGTGAGTGCCGAAAAGAGTGGCAAATCATTATGAATGAAAAAAAAAAAGAGAAAAGTTTAAAAAGATAAATCCACTTCAAAGCTTTGATTCTCCCCTGAAGTTACTTATAGAAAACCAGCCGAATGCAAAAGTTTGGGATATGAATCACGACTCTTTTTAAATTATATTATATACATTTTCATTAAATTAAATATTACGTATATGATTTTAAACATTGCTATTAGGTTTCATATTAACAATTATTTCCACTTGCTGTAGCAATTTTAGAAATGTTCGGTGAAGGTAATATTTTTCTTTAATAATTTAAAAGCAAGAAAAAAGAAATAATGTAGGACATCAATTTATGCACTGTATCGTCACTTGTAACATGCATATGTAAATGGAAGCAACAGAATTCTATAAATAAATAGCTTGGTTTCGAGATTCAATCATGCCAAATAATTGAGATCCATAAATGTGTTTATATAGTTAAAGCGATTGACACATTAGATTCAATTTACTAATGCTAAGCTATACATACTTATGACCACAAAACGTTGTCGGTTCTGGAACACACTACGCTGTCTCAAGGCTTATGCCGACATATGTGTTTGGAGCCCCACCACCATTCCCACCCGTCACATTATTGCTCCACCATTTCCCTTGTGGTCATGCCCAATACGAGTCATCTCACCATAGCCTTTTGGACTATGACTTCAGTTAGTTTGTACCAATCGCATTCAATAAGTAATATGTAGTTTTTTTTTTTTGAACAAGAAATTTGGATAAAATTGTGTTCTTAACAAATATTTTTTATTTGTCTAACCAAGTAAATTAACTCCAGCATAAATTTAGATCCAAATAACATCATTTTTTTAATTTTTTATATAAATATAAAAACATTGAAACTCAAAGAATTGAGTTTGGATTTTTTTTATCTTTAATATAAAATATATATATGATGAACGTTTGATAACTACAAAAGGAAGTTTAGTTAGAGGACCACCCCAAACTCTTATGATCAATCAAATTCTTATATCTACTTAAGAAAGATTAACTAAATTCCACGTCAAACACTTTAATCTTAATTATCAAACCACAGATTTTACATTAATATTCATAGTACTATTATTTACTCGTGTATGATAAATACAATTAACTTGCCTTATAAGGCGAAAAAGTTTTAACCATGAAGTATATCGATCTCCTGGATATATGGTGCGTTTTAAATTATTGTATAATTTTTTCTGCTATGTAAATCAAAAAATTAATGTACTGTTGGTGTATCATTGTCAGCTTAGATACTATGTCAATGTAAATGGAGTAACAACTTAAAAATTACTATTAGCTTTACCAAATTTATAAAATATGTAAACCCCTCAATGTTGGCATGTTGTTTTCAAATGATTCATTGCATTTATAATTTGTTAAACCCAAATCTAATGTAAGGGCATAGTAGTATAAGAGATCCAATAATATGTATAACAAGAAAATAAAATTAAGATCTATAAATCATTTCAAAGTAATTTATAATTTTTTTTAAATCAAGTATCCCTCATGAGTTTGTATTATCAGTGAACCAAATATTACTATCTTGATAATAAATAAATTTAAAAATTAAAATGATCAAAAATCAATATTTATAATTTTAAAATATTTATTTTAAAAGATTTTTAAATTTTTAGTATTCATATATATGAGATGACACTATATGATCAAGTGATATTGTACAAGTATTATACATGAATAATGTATCAAATATAAATAATTATTGATCACACGTTTATGTGTTTGTAGAAAAAAATATTGAGTATGTAAAAGGGAACTCGTTGACTTGTTTGGAATGACATTACCATATATTTAAAGTTGAATACAAGGAATTAAATTCATAATACGAAAGAACCTTACCTTACACAGTTACACTATTACAAATTGATTATTCAATGGTCATATGCACCAACTCTTTTGAAAAGAGATAAGTGAGTATATAGATAAGATCAGACACAAATGAAGATATAATGTATTTACCTTAAGGAGGTAAATTGATTATTGAAAATAGAGATGATACTGGGTATCTTGTTACAAGGTATTTATGAACACCCGATTCGATTATTTAAGGTTAAGATACTTTATAATTAAGTTGGAGTTATAATTTCATTATCCGTATTGGGTTCAGGTAGGATTCAGGTACCACCCATTGAGTACTCGATACCCAAACTTGAATTTTTTTTAAATTTTATACAATTAAAGATAAATCTATATTATTAATTAAATTAATTCATGAAACTATAATTATTAATTAACTTGTAATATTTTTTAATATATATACTCTATATTTTGTGTTAATTCATAAAAAATATAATTACTATTATATATATATACTTTTAGTATATATGGTTTAAATATATAAACATATTTACTTTCTATTTTGTATTAACGTTACAAAAATTATAACTTATAAAATTATTAATTATAATATATTTACCTTTGTTTATATATACTTATAAAATATATTCTTAAAAAAAAGTTGTGAGATTAAAATAGTTTTGGAACTTAATTATTGTTTTTTATTGTCATGTAATGAATAACAAGCCCATATAGTTAATTAAACTTGTAATGTAGTTTAAGTTGTTATTTGGATATTTATTTTTGATTCCTTAAATTTAAATTTTATTGTTTGTGTATTTTTATAAATTTAAATATTACTGAATTATATGAAATGTGTATGAAAATTTTATTGTATATAAATACAGGTACGAATTCAAGTTCAGGTAATTAAGTACGTATGAAAAGTATTTTAATAATTTTTTTTACATAATTAGATTTTTAAATAGGTTCGAGTAATTATTAAATAGTGAATATATATTAAGATTTGAGTTAAAATATTAATTTTTTCAAAATATTCAGATAATTATAAAATTTAAATATTTAATTTATTAATCAAATTTAAATTTAGGTATTTTAAAATTGATGAATAGCGGACCTGTTGACATCTTAATAGAAAATTACAAAGATAAGTATTTGAATTCAATGTCCTGCCCTCCCTCCCCTTGTATTATTTTGTAACACCTAAAAAGGTGGTCTGACTAATGAAAAATTATTACTAAGTGCATTAAAGGTAATGATGATTAGGATACAGTAAAAATCAATAAATGTTATTAAATTATACCAAGTACAAAAGGTGAATTCTAACAAGTTACTATTTATAACATTTTGTTGAGATAAAATTAAAATAAAGAGTAATAAATGGTGATATTAGCAAATGCTCTGGAGATACATTACCATAAAAAAAAAAAGAAAAAATAGTAAATTATTCTTAAATGGTAAATTCAACAAATTTCCATTTATATATTAATTGCATAATGAAACTTAGATCATACAGTTTAACGCAGCCACTTTTATTTCCTTATTTTTTTTTTGCATAAAAGCGAAAGGAAATTATGGAAACATAAGAATCAGAGAAAAAAAAAAAAAAAACATAAGAATCAGAGATTGAAGGATTTGAGAGGAAAAAGAAAAAGAATATAGAAAAAAATTAAATTTCATAAAAGTAAAGGGATGCGAGTGCAATATTGCCAGAATCCGCCTTTCCCTGCCCGTGGACGCCCACTTTCAATCTGGCGTTATGAACTTGCCCTTTATGTTGACCCAATTATGGTTATGCTACTGACACATTAGGCAATTCTCACGATAACCCAGGTCCACAAAGGTAATTCCACAATCCGACAGTTTCACACAGGCCGGTATTTACGGAATTCTCACGTTAGACAGAGGGTAGAATGGGGTTAAAAGTTAAAAATTTGGAAAAACGGTGGACGGCATTTGGTAACGCCTATAAAATGCGAGCTGAAGAATCTTCTCTCCATCTCTCAATCCACCATTGCCAAATCAAACTCAAAGCACTTTGCCTTTGCACCCAACCCCCCAACCCACCCTTCCTCTCTCTCTCTCTCTCCTACAGTAAAATCTTTTTGGTTTTATTTGCAGAGAAGTAGTGAGAGGAAGAAAGGAAAAGAAAGCATCGGAGACGGTGAAAGAACAAAAATTGTAACGTCTTTCACCAAACCTCTTTTCGTTTTTCTCTCCCTATAAAAATTCGTTCACTTTGATACTTCTGACTCATAAGCCAGCTTCCTCATTGTAACTCTCTCTGTTTTAGTTCAAACAGAAAACACTGAGCTTATTCAGGTGACTGGCTTTTTCTCTTTCTTCCTCTGAAAATACCTTCACTGAATTTTACGCTGCAGTTAATCCAGATACCTACTTTCTTTGCGCAGTCTGATTCTGTTTTATTCTCTCTCTCTTTTGTATTTCTGTTTTATTGAAAATTCCTTTTTTTGTGGGTTGTTGACTTTCTTAACGTCACCTTTTGCCGGTAATTTGATTCTCTTTTGATTTCTTTTGTTAATTTTTGTTCTTTTTCTCATTGGAGTTTTCGAGTTTTATAGCAGGATATGAAGGTGAAATTTTATTTTATTTACCTGATAATTTGTTAATTTCTTTGATTTCCTCAGTTTACTGTTGTTTCGGACTTCAATTCCCTTACTATTGCCATTTGTTGGTCTTTCAATGTTAATTTCCTGAGTTTTAAATCTCTACTTTCCAGAGGAAAATTTACACTTTCCGGGAAACTTCTTGATTGTTGACTAAGTTGACTATCAAAGAAAATGAAAGCTTCGCAAAGTTGCAATTATCATCTTCGTATTCCCAGATTACTCGTGATCAGAGAAAGCTTGTTTCTAATGATCCTTCCTTTTTTATTTTTTATTTTTTTGCTTTTCCAGTTTTTTCCTTCTTTTTGACTTTTAGCATGATTTTATAGTAGCAGTCTTTCTTTTACTTGAATTGATTTCTTCTTCTTGCATTTATGTATGCCAAAGAAAAACTCCATTTTGCTCCTGTTTGACGGCACACGGAGAGAGAGAAAAAAACTTTATTTGTAACTTTTTTGTTTTTCATTTTTTGAGAAGACGATAGTATTTTGCTTTTCCTATCCTTTCAAATCAGCTTTTTTCCACTATTATAACTATTTTTTTCTTCTAAATAACAGTGAAACAGTGATCATTTCATTTCGTTTCCTTATCTTATCGTTGGTTATAGTTTCAGTGACGATGTTAGAGAAGATGGAAATTCTGGACGTTGAAATGGTGATTGAAGAGTTCGAAGCGATGACCAAAGATGCTGGGAGTGTTCAAAGGGAGACTTTAAAGAAGATTTTAGAAGAAAACGGATGCGCTGAGTATTTGCAGAATCTCGGCCTGAATGGAAGAACTGATCCCGAGAGCTTCAAGGCTTGTGTTCCTCTCGTTACTCACCAGGACTTGGAGCCTTATATTCAAAGAATTGCTGATGGTGATTCTTCCCCGATTCTCACTGGAAAACCAATAACCACCATATCTCTCAGGTACTTTTTATTCTTTTCCTTTAATTGTGTTTGCTACTATTTAATTTTTCAAAATTGGGAGCTAAATTTTTATTGTAAATAAAGTCCTTTTCATTGCAATTTGCAGCTCTGGCACTACTCAAGGAAAGCCCAAGTTTGTGCCTTTCAATGATGAATTGATGGAAACCACTTTGCAGATTTACCGAACTTCTTATGCTTTTAGAAACAGGTATTAAATTGAATATACTAATTTTATTTTTACTACCTTTTTTACCAAGTTTTTAATGCTCAATATCGATTTTTTTCTTGTCCACACCTTTACTTTTAGTTGTATCTTAACCAGTTTTCAAACACGTGATATTCCTACTTAATAATCTTCTTTGATACGCAGAGAATTCCCTGTTGGGAAGGGGAAGGCTTTGCAGTTCATTTACAGTAGCAAGCAGAGTAAAACCAAAGGGGGTTTGTTTGCTGGAACTGCAACTACCAATGTCTTTCGCAATTCGCAGTTTAAAAATGCGATGCAAGCAATGCAATCTCAGTGTTGCAGCCCTGATGAGGTGATATTTGGTCCTGATTTCCACCAATCTTTGTACTGCCATCTTTTATGTGGGCTGATTTTCCGTGAGGAAATTCAGTTGGTTTCCTCTACGTTTGCCCATAGCATTGTTCTTGCGTTTCGAACTTTTGAACAAGTTTGGGAAGAGCTCTGTGCTGATATAAGAGAAGGGATCCTCTCTAGCAGGATCACTTTTGCGTCTGTCCGATCAGCTATGGCAAAATTGCTGAAGCCAAATCCTGAATTGGCTGATTTGATTCATAATAAATGTACAGCACTAAGTAATTGGTATGGATTGATACCGGAGCTTTTCCCTAATGTGAAATACATCTATGGAATCATGACTGGGTCCATGGAGCCTTATTTGAAAAAGTTAAGGCATTATGCAGGGGAGTTGCCTCTTTTAAGTGCTGATTATGGTTCTTCAGAAGGGTGGATTGGGGCCAATATCAATCCAAACCTGCCTCCTGAGTCGGCTACTTATGCTGTGCTTCCTAATATTGGGTATTTTGAATTCATCCCTCTGAATGAGAACGTTGAGGAGCTTGTGCAAGACAAAATTAATACTTCTTTCGTCTCTGCCGAGCCCAAGCCAGTTGGTCTGACTGAAGTTAAGGTTGGCGAAGAGTATGAGATTATTATGACCACTTTTGCAGGTACACATATTTTTCTTACAAATCAGAAACGATTTTCTGTTACAATTACTTTATAAGATTGTGGAGATTTCCCATACATTCTGTAATCTCCATTTCTACTCCATGTCCCAACCACGTTCAGATGAACATTGCACGTTGCAGTGTCTGCAACTTCTAATTTGTTTATTTGTCAATGCAATGACCCTACCATGACATAAATGCTCATCATGTGGGTGTAGCCATGTAGGAGACAGGGAGAACAAGTTATTTTCTAGTTGCTCCTTTCCATAGTTTATGTTTTTTTCTGCCGACTTTATTTGATTTGCTGCAGTGTCGTGAATAAATTGGCTTATTGTTGAGGCTCTTTGCTGTATGCTTCTACACATCCAGATTTTTCTTTAATGTTATCTTCGTTTGGCACAAAATTTGGAAACAGAGGTTCCCTTCTCAAGAAGACCCATGTGTTCTCTGCCATATATATCGTTGCTCCAAACTTGAAACTTCTGAATTAAGAATTTGGTACTTTTGTTTCCTAGATGTAGAGATAATCTTCTTAGAGGAGACGCGTCTGATGCATCATATCTTTATATGTTTATTTATTTATATATATTTACTTTTAGCCAATTTTTTTTAAGTAAGATAGTACTATCTGGTATCCTTTTTTAGTTTTCTTGTTATCATTCGTTCTTCAGCATATTTACATGCTTTGAATATTCTTTTTGTTTATTGGTTTCCCCTTTTTGAAGTCTTTTATATAAAGTCTTTCCTGGGTAGTCTGATGAGTTAGTTGCTGCATTGTCCTCAAGAAGAAAGAGTAGGCTTAGTCTCAGGCATAAATGACGCAGACGAAGAGGTCAATGGTTTCTTAGATTATAGTGAGGTCTTTGAGATAATATAGATAGACTTATTGGCTAAACTTATGATGTACTATGAAAAGGATGGGATGGGTTTTTTAGTCAATGGACCGTGTTAAAATACTATATGATTGATATTTTTATAATCGCCTTTTTTTTAAGAATAAAAATCATTATAGAGGACAAACTAGGAGAAGATAGGTGCATTTGGGGCCGTTTTATGTCATAGGTTTTTGTGTAGCGTGCTGGAAAAGTTGAGGATTATGTAAAACAAACTGCCTTTGGTTATGGAATAATTTAAATAGTCACGCCTATCACACATTGATATAATATAATAAGTAATATTTAAAGATGTTTAGTGGAAAACTTCTTGTGGTTTAGTCATTGGCAACCGAATCCTGATCAGCAAGTGGTTGCCATTGAAATTGTCTTTTCTGGAAATTGACCCTGTCTCTCCTTTTCCCCCCCCCTTCCTTCAAAATTGACCCTCTGCATTTATTATGTATATGTTCTAGCATATTAATAATTGAGCTCTTTGAAACATTGGCATGTTAGTGTAATTTATTGGTTGTCCTTTCTTCTCAGTTGGAAAAATTGTGAGCACACATTCACACCTACTTACCTCGAAGTTCTCAGTTAGAATTTTCTGGTGCTGACTTTCAAAACTAGTTCAATCCTTTAACACGCATCTGAAATTGTAAAACGCAGGTTTGTACAGGTATAGGCTAGGGGATGTGGTCAAGGTTATGGGCTTCCATAACTCAACCCCGGAACTGAATTTTGTCTGCAGAAGAAACCTGATGCTTACCATAAACATCGACAAGAACACCGAGAAAGATTTGCAGCTCGCCGTGGAGGAAGCAGCCAAGTTAATTGCTGGAGAAAAGCTGGAAGTAGTTGATTTCTCTAGTCATGTGGATGTGTCAACCGACCCCGGTCACTATGTGATCTTTTGGGAAATTAGTGGCGAAGTAAGTGATGAGGTCCTGAAAGAATGCTGCAATTGTCTGGATCGTTCTTTTGTTGATGCAGGCTATATCAGTTCCCGCAAGGTCAATGCGATCGGGCCTCTTGAACTCAGAGTTGTTTGGAGGGGAACTTTCCAGAAGATTCTTGATCATTACCTAGGATTAGGAGCTGCTCTTAGTCAGTTCAAAACGCCGCGATGCGTAGGGCCTACAAACAATAAAGTGTTGCAAATCTTGTGCGGCAATGTCGCCAAGAGCTACTTCAGTACTGCTTTCTAGTTCCTAGTTAAATATGCGGGAAAAGTAATTTTCTCATCATTTCTCATATTATAAATAATAAATCAAAGGTTTTTGTTGGCTTAAATCTTAAACCATCTCTATCTGTTGAATGCTGAATTTGCAAAATCGCCTACCCAGTGGCAAAGAGTTTGGGGGATTTCACTTCAGTCCACAGCATCTCTGGGCTTTGTCAGACAGGGCCTATCATTGACTTTTTGGGCTTGGTGGTGACGCGTGGCTCATTTTTTCATCACCAAAAACTACTTCTCTGTTCTTTCCAACAAAACCTACATGAAAGCAAGATTTGACAAAGGCCAACCTAACTTACGAATCCAACCACATGAGATGTTGTGCAGTAGGTAAGATGTTAGCTTAGGATATTGGTTGAATTCCATTTGTTTTGTGGACACGATGAAATAGGACCACATGAAAGTGGATCGTCCTCTCTGAGAGGAGACACACTCAGCCAGAAAACAAAAAAAAAATAATAAAAGAATCCAACCCAAACCTGTCAAAAAATGAGCTAGATTCCACCATCTTATCTTTGCATTTGCTCGACAAATTGTATAATATTAAACGGATGCCGTGATGTCAATAATTGTCCACAATTGATGTAATCTTCTTCAAGTATAGTAATTAATCACTGTGGAAACACCATGGTAACATTCATTTGTCAATTCTTGTCAATTCAGATCACTGCCTTTTATCTTTTTTCCTGTACTTGACCTGGCCAAGCTTCTATTTTCCTTTTTGCTTTTGCTCAAATCCGATTCCTGTAAAGGTTTCCATCTTCACGATTGGTGGGGATTCAAAAGAAAAAGAAAAATGGGAGGAAACTTTCTTTTGAGTTTCTAATCACTTTTAAAGTGGATTGGAAGATTTTAAGGTGGTGGATTGCTTTTTGTAGGCGTGGAAAACTTGGTCTATAAAGTTTGATAGTTTCTCCCGAATCGTCTAAATCATTATCAACAAAAATGATCCAATTGTTCTTTTTCTGTTCTTCCTCTAAAGAAAAACAAATACTAAGACTCCCGATTGCCTGAAGGGTAAAAAAACACAGAACACAAAGCCAACAAAACACAACAATGATTCGGGGTATTTTGGATTCTTTACCTTATGTTCAGCTTCCTTCGACACGAGTTAAGACCAATACCTGGTTGTCTTGTAAGAATATATGGGGCCGTTTGTTTTGAAGGATGTAAAGTACATTACCTGTAATGTGATTGATTAAATTACATTGCAGTGTTTGTTTTGTAACAAAACACTGTAATGTAAGATTGCAATGTAATCACATTGCAGTCATGGGATGTAATGTGATTGCAGTCCAAAACCAATGCAATCACATTACATTACAGCCTGCAATGTGTTTAAGACATTTTTACCCATCATTTTTTACAAAAATTACCTAAATATCAGCTCAAACCTTTCATTATCATTTTTGGGTTTTAGGTCTGCTGCTTCTTCTCCATTTGCAGCAGACGTTTCTCCCCCTTCTTCTCCATTTGCAGCAGACGTTGCTCCTCTTTCTTATAGTCCTGTTTCAGGTTAAAATCTACCATTTTTCTTTTTCTTTCTCTTCTTTTATCTTCCTCTTGTATTTTTCAGATTGAGTTTTTTCTTTTAATTTGGGTTTTTTTCATTGTTATATTTTTTGTTATCTTCAGTGAAACAAGAAAGAGATTTCTGGACTGGGAGTGTGGCGCTGGAGCATGCACCAAGCAGCACCCTCAACGCTGCAGCGCTGGGAGTGTGGCGCTGCAGCGTTGATGCCACTGCATTCACCAAGCTCCAGCGCCCTGCATTGGTGAAGGCAATAGCATCACCAGTCAAGGAATTCTTGCTCTTTTGAATGGCAGCACTAGTCTTGTTTGGTCTTCAAATATGCATTGGCAGAAAATCTATGGAAGCCTCCAGGAATGTGAGAAAAAAATGTTTGAGAAATTGTTCTTGCACAACATATGCAAATTTAGATATTTTGAAAGGAACAGGATGCTTGATCTGGTTTAATGATCTGACTTGATCATTTAATAAAATGATTTTTATTAAATACTAACTTTACTGCAGAATTTATCATAAAAAATACATGTTAAACTTATATTTTAATAAATAAGGGTAGTTTTGGAAATTAACATTACATTCTCTGCAAAGTACTTCTAAAACAAACACTGCAATGTTATCTTCTCTGCATTTTAATCATTACATTACTTATATACCAAACACTGTAATGTTATCTTCTCTGCAATCACATTGCTTGCAATCACATTGCAAGCAATCACATTACACTGTAAAGTAGCAAACGCCACCTATGTGTTTTCTTGGTTTTTAGCGGTGTCAGAGTACAAAAATCAATTCTACAAGAAATTTTAAACAAGAGAGGTGCTTTAGGCTTTAGTCCGTCACCGACAATATTTCAAGACCAGGAACAGCAGACAAGCAGTACTCCGTGCCATTCTTCAGTGTTTCGTTCTTGTTCTCTGTAAGTTTCTGGGTCTTGCATTTATCCAATAAAATGAACTTCGATAAGTACTTTTATATATATATATATATTTTTTATTCAATAAATTTTTTTTATATAATTTAAAAAATTTAAATTTATTTTTTAAATAAAAATAATATATTAATTAATGAGTTAAATATTTATATATAAAGAGTTTTCTTTTTATTCTGTCGAGAAAAGTTGACAGATAATCAAAGCCTACTTTTTTGACTTTATTTTTTATTTTGTACTTCAAAAGTTGGAAATTTTCCATGTTCCATCTTAATCTCAGAACTGCTAAACCAGCTATCATAGGGACCTATCAAATAAGGATTGCAGTGCTATTGCTTCAAAAACAAAAAAGGACATAATCATATATGCCAATCAATTGTTGTGGGAAAGATGATGGAGAGAACCCATGTTAGTGCAATTAAATTTATTAAATGCATTCCTAAAATGCAAATTATGCTTCAGATGGTGTTGTGTGGTTTTGAACGCATAGTTTGTCTGATGCTATAATCCTGATTGCTTAACCTCGAGAGCCATTTTTTAATGAGCAGATCTGTCATTATCTTCACCGAACTTGGGACAACTATTTCCCTTTTATTTCTTTTTTTCCACTCTTGCCATTCATCTTGGTTTTATGGTACAAGTGTCACCTACTAAGGATGTTATTAAAAGACAATAATTGTCTAAATAATCTACAAATTTAGACATTCAACTCACTTCTCAGGGATAATTAAGGAAAATCAAGCTTCATATTTTCCACATTGCAAAGAAAGAATGCCCCCAGCAAAACAGGACAGGCCAGCTTAAGTTTAAATTTCATATGACTCGAGAATCTCTTTATTTGGATATAATACATAGGTGAAAATCTGTTTGTCAATCTGCATTGGAAAAACTCTTCTTCAACCAATCTGATAAAGTCCAGAAGTTTTCCGAGCTCGAATGAAAAGATTATCTGAAACCAAAGAAGAAAATGAAGATGCAGCAGCATTGGCTATATGGGATTGTGGCAGCCCTTTATATGATTCATATGAATTGGTAACACTCAGTTATCTAATCGAGCGAAATCTAATGAAACTGCCATCTCTGGGTGGAGCAATGAGGCAGACCACTAGATTTTCTCATCCGTCTGATGTCACCCCTGCCACCAGTTCTGATTCCACCAGCAATGTAGGAGCCAAGGAATCTTCTTCTCTATTGAGCAGTTTTGGAGAATTCGTGGGGAGTAAGTTTTGGAAGAGGAGAAGTTTTGGACAAAGGAGAGATAAGCCTAAAATGTTGAGAAAAGGACTGTCATGCTTTTGCAATGGAGCTGGTTTTTCCAAGAAGTAGATATACAAAAGAAAATACCGGATTAACAGGTAAATTCAATGTCTCGGAAATTATGTTTCTTGTTCATTGCCGCTTTTCTTGATTTTTGGTTTTCAATAATGACATTTCAACTGTATATCTCAAGTGGAATTCTTTCCCATATTCAGAATTATACACCTGTATTTATCTATCATATACAACATGAAGAAGTATTTTTCACCACATCTCAATTGTCTCTTATAACCACCAACTCCCCTTCGATATATCAGATTTGACACCCCAGCAACAAGCTTGCCTCCATTTCCTAACTTAATAACATGCAGGAACACTTGTACGTTGAAAAAGTAATGATTTTTAGATGATCCAATTGGTTGTGATTTCTGGTGTGGGAGATTAGAGAATCTGGGTGAGGATTCGCTCTTCAATTTCCTGTCCCACTGGCGGATGAGCAGACATGTCAGCCTATTGATTATAAAATAGTAGACCAAGTTATACAGGTCTGATGCATTTCGAGTTGGGCCATGGAAAACAAAACAAAACTTTGTTTCGTCCTTTCTTTTCATTTCGTTTTCGTTTTGTTTGGATGTTGGAGGGATTGGGGAAGAAATGATGTTTGATGATGATGAAGAAGAACCCCCTGTCTCCTAGAGAACAAACCAAACTCACAACAAAATTAATTGCCAATTTAGTTTATGGAAACATGTCTCTCATAATTTTGATATTGGATCATGTAGTGGGATTTGGAGCTGGATGAGCTTGTTATTTGATATTGGATCATGTAGTGGGATTTGGAGCTGGATGAGCTTGTTATTTATTGTGTATGTCAATCAAAGTTCAATCACTGGTCCAGTAACTTTTTGATCTTAAATCATGTGATTCTCAAAAGTTTAAGTTTAAGTTGCTAGTAGTAGTAGACTTGGATTGTTATATATGTCTTAACAATCATATTCACATCAGATGATGTTGGATATCACAATTTTGTAACGTCTCAAGTCCAACCATTGACCCAGCAACTCTTTAACTTTAAACCACGTGTCTCTCAAAAGATTAAGCTCAAGTTACTAGTAGTAGTAGACTTGGATTGTTTCAAATGGTATCAGAACCTGCACCAGTCCAATGTGAGCTTTCACATTACTCTGATAATATCTTGATCCTGTGGATGTGATGTGTGGCCTTGATGAGGACATCAAGAATTTGAGTGGGAAAGATTGTGATACTTAACATCTCACATCTGATGTAAATGTGATTGTTAAGACCTATATAACAATCAAAATCTACTACTACTAGCAACTTGAGTTTAAGCTTTTGAAAATCAAGTGATTTAGACTCAAAGAGTTGTTAGGCCAGTGGTTGGACTTGAGTTGTTACAGTGTAAATGTTTAAGTTTGATTAATTATTATTTTTTGAAGTATTGTGTTACAGAAAAAATTCTATTAGGTACGTTTTGAGTACGAAATTACTCAGAGACATTCCAAACGTAAAAGTATTCATGGTATTTCGAGCATGAAAGTGCTTAAGAGTGTTCCGAGCGTAAAAGTGTCTAGTGTCGTTTTAAACATGAAAACGCCTAAGAACAAACATGGAATAACCATTCATATGGGGAAGAAAAAGTAATTCAGAATAAGTGACATGTTCATGAATTATCTTCATATTTGAAATCTTTTAAAAAGCTTAATTTAATAGTTTAAATATGAAAATAGTTAAAAAGACTCTTCTTAACATTTTTTTGAAGTACATGTACTTTATTTATATTTTATATTCTTTAAAGTGTTCTTCCATGAATTATGATTAAGCTTAACATCCAATAAGCTCTTTTTTAACATACTATTTCACAACAGGTATGTTTATCTTAATTGAACATGTTTTCTTAATTGTTTTTACAAAATCGTTACTATCTAGTATAAATATGAGAGTTTGAAAAGATAAGAAGACAATCAACATTTAGCAAAAACTCTGTCAAAATTATCCTTAAAATACTCTTAAAGTGCTCCAAAATTCTCTCTTAGCCCTTTAAATCGATCTTGTTTTGCTGTTTTCCCCATCAAAGCACATACATTTGAGAATTGCTTTAATCTTCCTCTCTGTTGCCTTTAACATATTTCACATTAACATATTTCACTTCACTTATAACAATACGTCCCTTTTCCTTACCAAAAGAATGTTCTACAGATTATTTTAACTTATAAGCCTATGACAACTGGTGAACGATTTCTTGATCTTTTCTCTTTTTTATTCTTAATAAATTTTCTGTTGATAAATTTCTTTAAACAAGTTGAGATAGTGTATTCCCAATGCGGATGGCCCCCCATGTGTAATGTGGGTGTCCAGTGAACTAGTTCGAACAGTAAACCAGCTAACCAAACAGAAACGCAACTCTCAACTTGAAAGTGTTTCTGACTTCATAAAAGTTGGTGACTGTGGTCTTGCTTGCGGACTAGGCCGAGCAAAGTTGGGTTTTTTTTATGAAAAAGCATCATGGGACAAACCAAAATTAAGAATTCAACTGAATAAAGTTCTAAAGATGGAGGAAAGAAGCTCAATCAAACAGACATTCTTGAAGATTTTCCAACTAGATTTTGTTCATGACAGAACCTGAGCCAAGAGTTGTAATCCTTCAATCCCCTGACATGAACAATGACCGAGCAAAGTTGGCTCCGGCGCAGCTCAATTCTGTGACAATAATGCATATTTTAGACTGAAGCCCAAGCTGACTGATGAAGACAAAATCCATACCAGCCAATCATGGGCTACGTCCGAAGTAAACCTTGAATTTGAAAGCACAATTAGTTTATAATCTTGATCCAGCTCGCTATTGTTTTGGGCTAACAGCAGTGAGATCCTTATTTTCACAGTTTGAATAACAAGAACAAAATCACCCCACCGCCACCAATATACCTGTCAGGGAGTGGATGTCAGGACTCAGGTGGCCGAAACCAAAATGTTAAACAATAAAAAGTAGAGTATGAATCTGGTCAAAACAATAATCATGCAGGCACTTAAATGCAGAATTCACCATTCAATAGTTTCTAATCCTTATTTTCTAATGTACATGTGTTTGTACATTAATCATTTCATTTCTGATTTTCTCTTTCCAGCTTTGGTTCAGAGAAAGAATTAACAGGCTAGTTTAGGCCAGCCCTGGACAATACATCAGTCTTTCATTAAAAACCGGAAGGCTTTCCCATGACAGTCTACGATTTAATGAGTACAGCTTGTGTCATTTTTACTTGCTTACACATTGGTCCTGGTGACCAAAAGCGTCACTTTCAAGTTCCTGATCATGGGCCTCGTTGTCTGGTTTGGGTCCTGCAATGCCGCAGAAACGGTGTGCCGGTTTTTAGCTTAAACAGAACAGAGATGAAGATTAACTGTAACTCCAAGCTGCCAAAGGAATTCAGTTTTGGGTAATCCATAAAAAACATTTGAGTTTAATCAATTTGGGACCATCTGGGCATCTTTCCTCATTCCCTTCCAAATAGAGTGTACCCATCTAGTCAAGTGGTCCTTGAAAAACTGCCAGCCAGGTATGGGGACTCTTTATTTAATCTTCAATTTGACGAGCTGATACCCTTTTCTTTTCTGTTGATCCTGTACCTCAAAGCTATCTCTGTCATGACCCACATATTGCTGGAGCTTAGAAATTATATGAAATGAAATGCCATTGACTTCATCCTAAATATACTAGTATTAAGCAACCCCTCTTTGACCAAGAAAGTTCTTTCAAATTTCTTTGCATGAATTTGCAATGCCCTCTCCCAGTCTCCCTCCTGCCAGGACAGAATAATAAACCTTCAACTACCTAACCTTCAATTTGAAGTCGTATTCATATATAGCAATTTGTACGAATAGTCTCTGCGGTTGCATTTTCTATAAGAAATAATCAAATCAAGCAAAGTGTTCTCCACATGTTGAGGTGTCAACCAAATTTTTAATCTAATATCCACTAGGTTCGTTTAATTTATTCCAAGAAAGATCAACATCCTCAGATTTCAGGACATATTCAAATGTTTGATTTTTTTTTCCCCTTTTATTTTTTCTATTAAAACCAAATGGGTCAGAGGTTGTTTGTTCATCTGCCGTCTGTATTGGTCGATTGGAGTCAACACACTGTAATGCGTCATTCATGCTGAGATCAATGTCACCACCAGCAGCTCTGTGATGGGTTGCTTTCTTCATCAAATTCCAAAGAAATTCTCAGGGCACGGTGGATAACTCTTAGAGCTACTGGATTCAATTCCTTGCTTGCCCACTCACTTTCTCTCTCTCTCTCTCTCTCTCACTATATATACCTACATACAGGGTCCCCTTTCATACTTAATGTATATAGAGAGACTAAGACTACTAGTATAATGCTTTGGATGCCTCTTGGATTCATTATTTTATTGCTATTTTTATTTGTACGTATTTTTTAATTTCATGAATTTAATCTCATTTATTGCATGTTTGAAACCGATAGCTTCAAATTAAAATTTTAAAGTTTAACTGCCAAACTGTTCTTTTATAAACAAATAAAAAAATAATTTTGCTAAAAAACAGAGAATTATCGAAATAGCATGTGAGGATGTCAAAAGAAAAAGCATCATAATGGTAACCCCCCCGTGACAATACTACACTTACCACGACCAAGAATTATATGTTTTATGTCCACTTCAAACAAAACAAAAGTGGCAACCACAGTCTTAAAGCCAAAAGGAAGGCTGAGAGCGGCTGCTAATGGAATTTGGAAAACAACCACTCTAATTGTGGTCATTATTTTGTTTCTGACATGGGTTTATATGTTTTTTAAACGTGTAGAATTCTCCCAATAATTAATGAACTTTGCGTCTAAAAATAGATTTTACCCACTTTTTTTTAATTACAATTAATTAAAATTATTTGATTCGATATTTAAATATTTAATTTATTAATTAATATATAATTTATTATTAACAAAAATAATTTATAATCTCTCTTTTCTTCAAAATAAATTATTCGAATTGATGGCATTCGTAACTTTTTTAAAAAATGAAGCTATACTTCCGTTTCTTTTATTTAGACGAAATTGAAATCTTTAGTACTCAATTATCAATAAATGACTTACCATTTACATAATCCAAATTAAAGCCTTAACACAAGAAATACAGAGAAAAGGGAGCAAGAGTTGGGATGCATTTTCTTCACTAATTTTCCAGGTTGGATATAAATTCTTAAGCCCCACTTGATGATTCATTGATTTAAATGTAAACCTAACTTAAAGTTAAAGCCCCCACCCACCGTACCATCCTGCTTTTAGGTCAAATCTTCCCGACACTCCCATTTTCCAAGCCAACTCTGCTCTCCCTCCACTTATTTCTCACAGGCATAGCAAAATCGAAAGAACAAAACAATCATCCCCCCCAAATCCCCAGCCCCAACTCCGTCATAATTTCCATAATCATAGTTATAGCATACAAGATTTACAGGGCAGTACACAAAATTTGAGGTCAGGGTAAAAAAACTATTAAGTGCTTGACGAGGAAAGTATGCGATGAGAGACGTGCAACGTTGATGTATGAGACAAAAGTTGGTAATAATAATAGGGAAGAGTGGGACCACATGGGCGGTTGGGTGAGCTGTGGGGCACCAGATGATATTCACATTCACTTCCCAAATGCTAAGAAAAGAAAAAGAAGAGAAAGAGTGATTAAAGAGTCGTGTCAGGGATTGGCAGAGGTTTTCCATTTCCACGCAGGCAGGCACTTGCCCTTTTTCTTTCACTTCTTTTCACAACGGCCAAAACTCTGCTTTTCTCTCAGCGGTCGCAAACAAGGAACCCAAACAAAGCAATTTGTTGGACCGAATAAAGTGCGGAAAGAACACAAAATAATTAATGTATAAAAATTACTATCTAGGTGAAAAAGAGTAAAGTGGGAAAAAAAGTAGATGATTCCACAAGTGGGGCTCAAAACGATGTCGTTCATTACTGGGTAGGATAGTTTTAGCAGTGAGACGACTACGTTTAATGTGGTTATGTGGTTTTCTGCTTTTCTTTCTTTCCCCTACAGCATAGTAATTCGATCCTGTGAACTCGGTTTCTCTGTCTCTGTCTTTCTCTGTTTCTATGTTTTTTCTTTCTTCTCTTTCCCCGAAGTGGAGCAAAGTGGAGCAGAGTATAAAATCAGATTTCTCAGGGAACACAAACTATTCTATTTTTTTTTCTGCTGGAAGTTTCAGAGTGTTTCCACAAAGTCTAGGTTACTTCATTGTGTTTGCCCAGCCAAATTGTCTTAACCACTGTTGGGCATACCTTCATTTCAACTGTTTCGTCTCTGAGAAAAGTAAGAACCTGAATTCTGCTTATGACTCCCCTTCCCTTTCTCTTTGTAAGGTCTTGGTTTCTGGGTTCCCACACGTTGCTAAAAAAATTGTTTTTTTCGTTTTAATAAAACGAGTACGATAGTGATAGTTGTTGGAATAGTATTGGGGGATTTTTAAGCTCCTTAAAAAAATAAATTGGAAGGCTAAATATTTATTTTTCTGGTGTGACATCTTTGTTTTATCCTTGGGTAGGGCGTTGAATGACTCAAAAATGGCCGAGTCAACCAAAGTAAGGTTGGTTCGGTGTCCAAAATGTGAAAACCTTCTTCCAGAGCTTGCTGATTATTCTGTTTACCAGTGTGGTGGGTGCGGTGCTGTTCTTCGAGGTACCCGTCCTATCTCTTCTCTCCTCTTTCTCTCTCTCTCTCTCTCTCTCTCTCTCTCTCTTTTCTTCTCCTAGTTGTAGTAGTTTGTTTGATGAGAAAGTTGTTGAAGACAAGAGAGAAAAACGTGATCGAGTCTTTGATCTGTTAACATCTTGTTTCTATAAATGGCGTAACTGGAACCAATTGGTTAAATTGAAGGCTTAGGCGCAGTCAAGGTAAGGGTTTTAGTTGCTGTTTTTGATAATGAAAACTTATTAGAATCCAATTATTAGTTATTTCTATTGTATATATCAACAGTGACAAGGTGCATTCTTGGAAAATTTAAAGTTGGGTTTTTGTTCTTTTCATTCACGTCGTGCTATATTACCCTCAATTTGATTCTGGATTAAACCTACCATAACGATAAGAAAAGGAAAGAATTGAGATGACTAAAGCCTCATCATTTTCACAAGATAGATTACAAGATGGTCATAAAGGTATACAAGTGTTATAACAGAAGTACAGAACTCTCTGGTTTAATTTTGTTGAAAATCAAATGAAACCGTATGAAATATAATTTAAGGCTACAGATTTCAGTTTCTTGTTGTTTTCTGAACCTTTTGGTCTTGGTACCTTGTGATTAGATAAACAGAATTTCTTCCTTAAATTTATAGTTCTTCTAAATTTTGATAGTGGAATATTTTATGTTTACTAGCAAAAGTTAGGAATCGTGAAGCAGATACCTTCTCAGAGAAGTCGGAAGAGGACAGGCTTGGAGGAGTTTCTACCAAATCCCAAATTTCCTCAGAGAAAGGAATAGTGGACTCGAGTGATGCCTCTGATACAGATGTTAAATCGAGTGCTGGCTCTTTGATGTGTGATCAAAGGGATCCCGAGAAGAATGATGTTGATTCCGCTGATAGAAGTAGGACTGAGTCTAAGGTTGCTGGTGATAAATGGTCTGTTGAGAATGGTAATGATATTAGCAGAAATAAGGATGAAATAGTAAACGCTATTGGAAGACGACAGGAGGATTTGGATTCGAATTTTGGATATACTGGTGGATCGCAAAGAGTGGGACACATATCAGATTGGCAAGCTAGGACGCAAGAAGAGATGGAGAAGTTTCAGAGAATTCCAAGAGTGGTCGTCGAAGGTGTGCGACTTTCAACTTCAAACAATCCGGATGAAGGCCCATCAAGCCATAATTTGGATTCTTCTTATGGTTATAGCGAACCATTGCGGAATCGAACTGACCAGGATGGCTCTAGTAGAATTCACCTTGAACAAGATCGAGCTGAGCTTCTGAGGAAGCTAGATGAGCTAAAGGAGCAACTTAGTCGCTCTTGTGATGTGGTTGACAAACCAAACGAGAAGGTTCCACTTGATGGGAGAGTTGTTCCTCCAGAGCCTCATGGTGGTGCTGATACCTGGTTTCCAAATGTTTCTTCCGGATCACGCAATGCCTCAATGCCTTTCTATGGACCTGATAAACATGCTGCAGGAGCAGGACCCTCTTATTTTAGCCATTTCCCAGAACCATTCTCTTATCCTGTTGGGCATGATATGACTCGGCATGGGTTGTATCCTCCAATGCATAATCCAAATCATATTCCTCCATATGGAGATCCTTTTGGACCCCAAATTCTTGGAAGAGCTCCCCACCAGTTGCCTGGAGAATACCAACAACAGCCGCCTCACACATACTTTTCTGGACAGTACATTGAAAATAATCATGACCCATTTATGCCATATCCCCAAAGTTCAGTCTTGCACCATGCTTCTTGTTCTTGTTTTCATTGTTATGAGAAACATCGACGAGTTCCAGCACCTGTTCCACCCAGAGCATTTGGTAATAAAAGATTCCCTGATGTCCCTAGCAATCCAATGTACCCTATTGAGAACCCTGGGACTTTTGGTTCGCATTTCCATAACTCTAGGACTATGATGCCTCCTCCTTTAAATGTACGTGGTACACAAGTGCATGCTAGATGGCCCAGTGATATTAACACTGAAATGGGTGGTTTTGTTCGGTGCCGTCCCCAGAGGGTGGTGTTAGCCAGTGGTGGCCGCCATTTTCGTCCTATAGCTGGTGGTGCTCCATTTATAACTTGTTATAATTGCTTTGAGCTACTACAAATGCCCAGGAAACTGCAGCTCGTGGTGAAAAATGAACATAAATTGCGCTGTGGAGCCTGTTCTACTGTAATAAACTTTACCGTCATAAACAAGAAACTTGTTCTTTGTGATCATGCAGAAACAAAGGGAATTTCTGTGGAGGTTGATGATATCTCTAATGAAGTTGTGAATGATAATTCCTCACATTTCCGTGGCCGTGTGAACCGGATTGCTAACTTCTCTTCTGATGATTATGATCATTCGGGTTATGACTTTCAGTCAATGGACAGAGAACCTGTTGCCTTGTCAATGGGCCAGGCTTTGAACTCAGTCAGACCCCAGGAATTGCAGAACTTTCATTCTTCATCTCCAAGCACCTCTGAGGATGAAAACAGTCCAGATGTTTTAATTGCTTCAAGAGATGAAGTGAATTCTGTTGAGCAGCCAATCAAACCCAGTTTGTCTCCTCCACCTGCAGGCTCACCTCTTCAAGAGCACTTTGATTACTCTTCCAACAATCGTGCAGTCAACCGATTTGGGAAGGGAAATCGGAGTAGTCGCTCTGAACAAGAGAAAGTTATGTCAAACAAGGCTACCACAAGACAAAATTCTTTAAAAGAAGCATCGTTACCTACTGAGATGGATGTGTCTTTCAATGAGTACTCCAATACTGGGATTTCTCAAGATTCAGGGGATGCAACCAGAGAAGATGATCAACTGAAAACAACAAAAGGAGGTGAATCATTTTTTGCAAATATTATTAAGAAGAGTTTTAAGGATTTTTCAAGATCTAATCAAACAGAGGAACGTGGAAAAAGCAATATTTGGGTTAACGGGAATCCCATACCTGAACGTGTGGTTAAAAAGGCTGAAAAGATGGCTGGACCAATTCACCCTGGACAGTATTGGTAAGGCTACATTAATAATCTTTGTGATCTGCTGTGGTATGACTTTTACTAGTTTTTAATGGCTAACTTGATGGGTGTGTGCATTCGCATATAAAGGAATAGATTTTCAAATGATTCTGGTAATTGGACCAGATAAATAAATCTAATCCTTATATTGCTTGATCTTACTATAATCTATATGCTTTTTGGGCTTGCAGTTTCTCATGCTTTTGAGTAACTGACATTCTTTTGTTGCACATGTCTAAATCAGGTATGATTTCCGTGCTGGATTCTGGGGTATTCTTGGTGGGCCTTGTCTAGGCATAATTCCTGTAAGATTAACTAATTCTTACCTATATATTAATGGATAATCAATTTTTGTTGTTTGGTTTTGCGAATAATTTTTCTTAACTTAATTACTCTTACAGCCATTTATCGAAGAATTTAACTATCCCATGCCAGAAAATTGTGCTGGTGGGACCACTGGTGTTTTTGTAAACGGGAGGGAGCTCCATCAGAAAGATTTGGATTTGCTTGCTAATAGAGGTCTTCCAACTGATAGAGATAGATCTTACATCGTTGAGATTTCAGGGAGTGTTCTGGATGAGGACACTGGTGAAGAGCTAGATAGCCTTGGCAAACTTGCCCCAACGTAAGGGCTACTTCTTTGATTGTTCATTTTTGCATTTTTGTAATTTTTTTCTTCTCCTTATACATGGTATTTGGTTGGTGGTTAAATGTTGCTATAACTAGTTAGGTGATAGGTCTCGTTTCTTTTAATTCATCCCCTGCACCTAATGAGCAATAATGTACTCAACTGTTTTAAAGATGAATCCTTTGTAGCCGTAATGCTCGTACAATTCTTATTCTCTATGAATGTTGGATCTTTTGGAGTAAGCCTTGAGGCCAATGAGATCTTAATGTAGCGGAAAAGACATGGCTTTTAGATATCTAGGATGAAAAGAAATAGGGTTGGTGGGCTTTGCCAGGTGAAACACCTGAAATAGGGCTATGTTGCAACCTGAAGGTTAGTAAATGAACTTTCTGTGCTCTGATAGTGGCTGATGGCTAAACGCCCATTTAAAATTTCTTTTCATTAATGATGGTATAAGTAGTACATTAATCAAGCATTTTTGGATGATGGCTTTAAAATCTACTTGTCATGAGTATTACTAATTGTTAGTGCATCATTCGAACATAGTCCAGTTTTAAGATGTTTGAAAACTATGTGATTAGCGAAAGCATATGGGAATTATATATTCAGGTTGTGTTCTTACCTTTAGCTATGCTTTGCACCCTTCCCTCGACGCTTCTTGCTTTCCTGCCTCCACCTTTTCCTCCTTCATGTCTCATAGCCTTGCTGTGTTTTATCTACAACAATAATAGGAGCTGTCACTATTTTTAGGGATTGCTTTTTTCTTGCTTCAGTGTATTCATTATAACTTTGAGCTCATTTTTCTATTAATTATAGATTGTTACTTACAATTTCTGTATCTCAAGTTGGGATTGCTTTAATGAGGATAATATTCTGAGGCATTGTTGATATGACTTTGAACAGAGTTGAGAAAGCGAAGCATGGTTTTGGCATGAAAGCTCCAAGATCACCTGCATGATGAATTAAACAATCACAGAGTTATCCAACGGATGCAAAAAGTTTTGATTCAATCTAAATCAAGTGCAGGAATCACCATCTTGGCAAACCGGTTGGAAGGACTGAATGGTGTTTCTGTAGCTACTCTGGGTTGGTGAGTGTTGGATGGTTTCTTAAGCCCTTGATAAGTGGAAACTATAATAGTGAATGAGGTTTCTGATTGATTTGATATTTTCTCTGGTAGTTATCATGCACATTCTGAACTATCGCTTGCTCTTGCTGCATTTGTATATGCAAATTTATGTAAATTTTCTTTCATTCTACCACATGGTTTACTGTGTGAGATTTGGCTTTCCTTACCTATCACCCTTGAATATTCAAAACCAGAATGCCAAGTTCCTGTTAGATTCTGGCAAATCCAGCATGTGAGCATCATCATCATGTCTGCTTTAGCTAGAAAACTCGACCGCAGTGCAGTGTAGATGCCACAAACATGTATTGTTACTCTGGTTCTTTGCCACGTTGGTGACACATAAGCACCAAGTCAGCATCACACTGCTATTTAGCCATGTGTGCTCCACCTTGATGCTTTTGTGACAAAGATATCAACGGTTCCTTTATACCATTTTATTAGCTTAAGATAAACAAAACTTGGTTAATTTAAGAACTGATTGAGGGAAACGTGCTTGACATAACCACGATTGACATTGTAGTATACAGACTCTTGTGATAGCTAGAAGTTGTGGAACATTTTCTAATTGTTTACAAAGAACAATCCCAATGGAGCAAAGGAATTGAGTGATGAGTCGATCCGTGATTTGACTGCAGACTCAAGACTGAGTTGGCATGTGAAGCTCCTGTTGAAGGGGCCCCAATCTCTAAGTAGATGAGCCCAAACAATCATTGGTTGATCTTGCAGACGACACAAGAACAAGACATACGCTTAGGGGAATTGGCCCGTGCACTCTTTGGTACTCGTCAGGTCAGGGTGCTAAGTGCACCTCACTGGTGGGCCTAATCTCTCGTATGGGCCCTTTGCCTCTTCGTATCTTTATTCTTTTTTTAATTTAAAAGAAAGGAAGATTCCAACCATTCTTTTCTAATAAGTGATTTTAGGACAATTATGGAATCAAATGTTTGGATACAAATCCATTTATTCTTGTCATAAGCTCTTTGGTTGCTGATCAAAGGTTAAAAACTATAAACGATTGGCTTAATTAAGTATTGTACCAAAAGCCCTGGAGCATCTATTTTTGTCATTAGCATCAGAACTAGTATCTAAAGATTGACTAATAACAATGAGAATAGTTTCCACTGTCATAAATCATAGAAATGAAACAGTACTGGTAAAGTTTAATTATTTGGAAGGACATGATCCAATGTGGCCAATGTCCACACTGGGATACGAGAAGACCCACTTTATACTTGAAAATATAAAGCAAATTTCACTGTTGCATGGGACAATAAGTCTAAAGATGTCCTCACATTCATGGCATGTTCCTCTTCCCTGTCAATTTTTTTTTTCCTTTTTACTCGATTAAATAAACACATTTTCACACTCATGGCACGTGAGAACAAATAATCTCACCTGTCCAAGCTTGTTCACATGTCTCATTTCCATCCCTCAAATCATTGTTTAGTTTAGTTTAAGCATCTCATTTTCCATTTGTCCACTAATATATATATATATAATTTAATGGGTTTTGATTGGCTTAGTGCCCTGATATTGACCGGAAGAATCAATCATACATGTATTTATGGCAGAAAGAAGACCGGACAGCCAAAAAGATAGAAGGTTTGGGTTATTTAACTGAGAGCAAATCAAATCTCAAAAAGCAAAGCAAGCACCCACCGAATCAAAAGTAACAGAACACACTAGTTAAATCAACAGGAATTAACAACTGCATCGAACCCATTTCAGAAGGCAATAACTCTAGTAAGGAACAATATTCTGTAACAGAAAAAGCAAAGCAAAACAAAGAGTACAAGTCTTTAAAACATGATGAAGATTGGGTTTCCTTCAAATATTCCAATGAAGGAGAGAAAGAGAAACAAGGATGATGAACTGCTGAATTGGTCCATTCATGACGTTAAAGGCTAAAAAGACAGAAGCAAAGTTCCAGCCAGCTGTACTTAGCATCCACAACACTGATCAGTGGATCTAAGGTGTAGGAGGAGAGGGGCAGACCATGTGAATTGGATCTAATTTTTTGCAATACTATCACCTTATTAGATTATTATATATGATAGTACAATATATTTAGATTTGGAAAAAAAAAATGATTTACATTCTTTGAAGAGCACATGTACATTTCTTTTTTTTTTCTGATCTTTGGGTCATTGCTACTTCTTTTTTTGGGTGCATTCTTGATCTTTGCTCATTATAAAATGGTCCCATTAGGCCATTTCATTAAACTATTTCAATTATTGCTAAGCTATTTCCCACCAACAATGTACCATCTCAATAAGTATGGTCGAAACAATCAGTCATATACAGTCCCAATATCAATGTCAATCTGCATAATTTTCATGACTAATTTTAATTCAGTTGCTATTACACTTGCCATCATCACATTGCAAGAAATCCATAAAGCTAAGCATCTGCCAAATTGTTTTATGTAGGAATTTGTTGAATAATTACCTGCTTTTTTTACCTGTACCCAAATATAAACCAGAATGACAAGAAATCAAGCAATTTTCTGTATGTTTCCATGACAATGAAAGTATGAAACCTCTCATTTACTTTTACCTTTTTCTGTTTTTTTTTTAAGTATAGTACTAGTGTTTATCGACCAAACATTCCCTAATACCACAAACACAAGTCCCCAAGTCTTGTAGAGGAGGCATGTCCTTGTAGTAAACTTGTCGTAACCACTTCGATAAAACTCAACTGAAAAACTTCATCTAAAAGCACCTTTGGGTGGTTGCGGAAAACCAGTTTCAGTCCCAGCGTCATCTTTCCACTCTCTCTCTCTCTCTCTCTCTCTCTCTACAAACATTTAAGGACAGACTTTCTTGGTCTGCGTGACACCACCCCCCCCAAAATGGTGAAGGAAATGAGGATAGATTTGAACCCTTCATCACTACATAAACGCCATCATGTCTTTGTAAAGTTTGCAGTCTCTTTTCTGTTACTAGGTCTTGCTTTTCGTCTTTTTGTCTCTGATTCCATCAGGTTTTCTTCATCAGTTGTTGAGACGCCTCCTCTTGTAGACACTAATTCTATAACCGAGTCTCCTCCTCTCTCTTCTTCTTCTTCGTCTTCTTCTTCTTTGCCTGCTCAAGCTCCCAGTTCAGGTGATTTGTTGGCAAATGAGAGCCAAGCGTTTCCGAATGGTAAGATTTTGTCTTCAAAATTTTGGGTTCTATTCAAATGAGAAATGCAAATCAAAGTGAGGAAATAAGTGTTTCTTCCTGTTTAGACTCTCTTGTCTTTTTCCTTCTTTTCTGTCTACGTGTTAGTGATTCCTTTGTTAGAAATTGATAAACTATGCGTGAATTTGGTTTGAGACATTGAGTAAGCAGGTGAAAAGAGGGCCATTGGTTTATAATCTTCTTATTCTTTCTTTTTTTGCCCATTTCCCTAAAAATTACTACTATTGTTTACCCATTATTTGGTTTAACAGAGGATTGATCCTACTATGTTTTAAAATTCCGTTCAGGAAATGGACTGATTGTTTGGGTTCAAAATATCTGTGTGATTGGAATTTATTCTTACTCCATTCCAGTTTGATCCATTCAAGTAAAAGAAAATGTAGATCTCTAGCAGTTTGTATTGCACTGTAAGCAGCCAAAAACACCTTTATCATCTAGAAAACAACACTCCTCAAATATTATATTCGGCAAGCTGTGACATTGTGCTACGGCAATCATTATGGCATTCCTTGCTTCTGTCTTCAGCAATCTCGAATCATTCATAAGTATATTTCTGCTTTAGAAATTAGTCCTAATTCTATGTATGCAGTCGCAGCTGAATGTGATATATTCACGGGGGATTGGGTACCGGACCCATCGGCTCCAGCTTACACAAATGCAAGTTGCCATGAAATTGAAGGTCATCAGAATTGTATGAGAAATGGGAGACCCGATTCAGGCTACCTTTACTGGCGGTGGAATCCCCGGGATTGCGAATTACCCAGGTTCGATCCGGGGAAATTTCTTGATTCCATGAGGAACAAATCATGGGCATTTATTGGTGATTCCATCTCCCGTAACCATGTCCAATCTTTGCTTTGCATTCTCTCTCAGGTACGTGCTTTTCTTTACACTTGTTTCTGTTTAACTACATTTAATTATCTTTACTAAGCAGATTGCAAAAATGATTGAATTTTTTGTGATGATCAACAACAGTTCCTTTATAAGTAATGTCATGTCCTTAAAAGTTGGCTGCTTTTTCCTGTGGAATTTTATTTGCCTCTTGTCTTCAAGCTTCTAATGGTCTTGAACACCCCATGTACTGTTATGCAGACTTCCATATTTATTGTAGGGTAGAGTCCTAATCGCCGGACAAGACATTTTTTAGCCGTAACAAGGATCCAAAGGCTTACTGGCTTTTGTTGTGGGTCTCCCATCTCAACTCCTTCTGGGGTCGATGGGCTAGTCTTAATTAGTAGTGGATGACAGCTTTGCTTTGACGATTAGGCTTCTCTTTTTAAGTTGTTAATTCCTTATCGAGTCTCTCTCCTAGCTGGTTCACCAACCATGGAAGTGAAGGGTTGTAATTGTTTGTCCAATTTTAAAATGTTTTCTGGAGCTTAAATGATTTGCAATAGATTCATAATTTCTCATTTGTTAACTCAGAAACAATCAGCTTCAGGTTCATTCTGTTTGTACTTTCATAGCAAGTTAAAATTTCATATCTACATACAGCAAGAGGCCGTTTAACAGAGATGGTTGAAGTATGTTTATAGTTTTCATTATTTGTCAGCAAAATTCTAGAATTGTACATTGCATTGGGTACTGACTCTGATCTAATCTTATGGTGGGACTGAATTTAGTTTTCAATTGAAACCCAAAGACCTGATCAACATACTACCTACTACCTGTACATTCTATACAATTCTGTCGCAAGGACCTACCATAGCCTGATATGTTAGCCTAACTGTGGGTAAATGTTTCTGTTCTGTCTTGTTCGATGGCATTATATTCTCAGATGGTATAATTGATCAACTTATGTCCCACAGGTGGAACAAGCTGTCGAGGTCTATCACGACGAGGAATATAGATCCAAGAGATGGCACTTCCCCTCGCACAACTTCACCCTCTCAGTGGTTTGGACCCCATTCCTGTTGAAAGCTTATATTTTTGAAGATATAAATGGGGTTTCTTCGTCGGAAATTCAGCTCCACCTCGATAAACTTGATGAAACATGGACTGAACAGTTCAAGAACTTTGATTATGCCGTGATCGCAGGTGGAAAGTGGTTTCTTAAAACTGCGATATACCATGAGAATGATACAGTGACAGGTTGCCATTACTGTCCAGGAAAGAACTTCACAGAGTTGGGTTTTGACTACGCCTACCGCAGAGCACTGAAGACGGTGCTGAACTTTTTGACGAACTCTGGTCACAAAGCGTTTATTTTCCTCCGAACCACAACCCCAGACCACTTTGAGAATGGAGAATGGTTCAGCGGAGGGACCTGTAACAGAACTGCACCATTTAAGGATGGCGAGGTGGATATGAAAGATGTAGATATCGTAATGCGGGACATTGAGTTGGAAGAATATGAGAAGGCTGCTCCTGTGGGAGCTGAAAGTGGGGTGATCTTGAAATTACTATATACCACTCGCCTTTCTCTGCTGAGGCCTGATGGGCATCCGGGACCCTATCGGCAGTACCAGCCATTTACAAAGGACAAGAATACCCAAGTGCAGAATGATTGTTTGCACTGGTGCTTACCAGGGCCCATAGACTCTTGGAATGATTTACTAATGGAGATGATAAATAGAGGAATACACCAATAATTGATCTTTTTTTTTCTTTTTTGTGGATTTGAGATACTAGGTTGTACAATTCTTTGATTATGTAATTTATATGAATGAACAGGAATTTTTTTTTTTTTTAAAAAATTGAGAATGAATGAAAGGGATCTTGGCATCCAAGGCATCTGGGAGGCCAGGCCAGACGTTGTCACTTGTAATTATCTAATTTCATGGCGTCGAACATTCTTAGGCAACAAAGCTAAGTATTTCAGTGTGTGGCTTGCGTCTTGACAGGCTCCGGCCTTCGTCATTGTACGGATAAAATCAATACAACCGAAAAAAGGCTCTTAGATTCTTCTGCCAAATGAAGGACATTGCACAGTTTACACTATTTTTTTCTTCAACTCTACCTTATCCCATTAGCATCTCGACAGAAATTAAAACCAACTAGGAAAACATCTAGATTTATCGTTTACTTAAGATGATGAGTCAAATTTAGTAAGAGATCTAGATTTACCATTTTTACATATAATGATAAATCAAATTTACCATCTATCTTTGAACAAATGCAATTTACTATCGTGCATTATTATTTGGTTAAAAAAATGATAGAAATTTAAAACATTTTATAAAATATTCTTTCATTTTCTAACGAAATATTTTTTGCTGTTAACTTTTGATCATTTCTGAACCAAATTAAAAAGTACAGTAATAAATTACAGTACAATGGTAAATTTTTTACCCTTACCCCAAACCAGTTATGATGATACCTACACTTCTGAGACAGTAGAAATGGAGCTATGGGCAATCTGCCACTCCATTGAATCTTATCCAAAGGATTTATCAAGATTTACCAGATTCCAAACAGGTTTCAAGTCAACACAAAGGCTGTCAGCCTTGATTGCTGCAAACAATTTGATTTTCATTCAAAGATAAATGCACACACATGAAGGCACATAACTGATGTACATGTCAAGAAATATGGCAAAAACAATAAATCCGTAAAAGGGGAAAGAAGTATGGAACTGGTAACTAAAACCTGCTTTATCATGTTGATTTGCAAAGTTGTCTGGCAGATGTAACTTTATACAAGTTCCAAGTTTCAATGTTCTAAGAACATTGTAGTTGAATTCTTATTAAGAGACACAAAAGAGAAGCAAGCTGAAATTACACAATCATCAGATTTGATATTATTCAACAAAGAACTCATGTTTCAAACAGCAACCTAGGCATTTGCCTGCTCAAGTGAGGTCATAGAAAGCTAGTACCAGAACCAACGAGCAACTGTCAACTTCTTTCTACTTGGTCAATGCTAGTGTATCCATCTCCTTCTTCTTCGGTTTAAGATATGGATCCTGCAACATTCATAATTTTTGCAAGATGTTAGACAGAGTAACTTACATGAAGTCAGAAGCATCTCGATTTTAATACAATCCACACAAAAACACCTAGACAAACGGTGACGAAAACACATCACACATGCACATAAATATGATCCTTTCTCATTGTCCAACTGCAATTTCTTGTATGCATTTTCTTTTCCACCTCTTAAATTTAATTTTTCATTCAATTTAACTGCAATTCAAAGTTCAAATACAAAAGAAACTTCAATTTGGGTCTAATGAAGCAACCTGGAACAGTGAATCTAGATTTTCTGTAACCTATAAACTAAATAAAAATATCATTCAAATCTTTATGTTCCTTAAATTATAATACTCCATCCATTTCAATTTAAATCAAAGAACAAAATAGAACTAGAATAACAGGGTACTCAAAAAGCTGATCCTCCAAATTATATTAGTTGCCTAACAATGGCTCCATATACTTTCTACGGCCACAATCAGGAATATTTCGATGGATTGGCAACCAAATAAAGTTCCTAATGAGTAAATTTTATTGAAGAAAAAAGAGTAAAGAAACATTATTCCAAATCTCCTGTTTACAGGTGAACTAGGGTTTAAAAAATAGAAGGGAAAGGAAAGGGAAATGGAAATTACGTCAACGAAGAGTAAGTGGGCGACAACGGTGGCTCCCACGATTCCGCCGAGGATGGCGACTGGGCCTGTTAGCAAACTCCACTTCCGGTGAATCATCTTTCCTTTTTTGTTTTCTTATTCTTCTGCGATGAGTTTCAGCTTTCTTTCCTTGCTCCTTTGATCTCCAAAATTCCAGTAATTCGACAAAGCCAACCCGGCTGCTTATAAAAGAGAAGTGTTCCCGATGGGCTAAGCTGAGGCTTTCTCGGGTTCTGCTTTGATTGGGTTAAATTGGGCTCAACTATTGGGCCTAATCCACTGGCCCGCCATCTATCGTTTTCAATAATAGGGACAATCTCATGCTTTAAAAAAACAAAAAAGGAAAATGTAAAACCACTCTTTTTTCTTCTTTTTTTTAATTTTACTATAAATTAAGATCATTAATTAATTAATTAACATTATTAGTATTAAATAAATGTATTGACAACTCCATATACAAATCAAAAGCTAAATTTATTTATTTACGAGATCATATATAATATTGGATTCATTAATAGTATAATATTTATACACTCATAAAACATAACATTTAAAAAAAAAAACCCATAATTTACTCGGACGAGGGCTGACACAGCCATGCCGGTTGATCCCACAAACATTTGATGAGAATCCAAGCGAAGTTAAGGGTCCGTTTGGTATACTGCAATGTAAAGCACATTACCTGTAATGTAGAGCACATTACTTGCAATATAACTTATTAAATTACATTGCAGCGTTTGTTTTGTAACAGATCACTGCAATGTAAGTATTGCAATGCAATCACATTATAGCCAATGGATGTAATGTGATTGCAATCCAAAACCAATGCAATCACATTACATTGCACTCTGCAATGTTCTTAACGACAATTTTACCTTTCAATTTTATTACCTTATTAAAAAATTTTATAATATTATAATTAAAATAAAAATATTAAAATAAAATATATAATATAAGAATAAAAAATAAATATAAAAAATATAAAAAATTAACATTTAATATAATATAGGTAAAATAAATAAATTAAAATATATAAATATAAAAAATATATTAAAGAAATGAAAATAAAAATATATATTATAATAATAATAAAATAAAATATATGACATTAAAAATATATTTAAAATTGATATTATATAAAATTAATAATATAAATATAAATATATATAAAATAAAATATAAAGTATTATAATAATAAATAAAATAAAATATATGACATTAAAAATATATTTAAGAATGTTTATTATATAAAATTAATAATAAAATATAAATATATTAAAAATAAAATATAAAGTATTATAATAATAAATAAAAATAAAATATATGATATTAAAAATAAATTTAAGAAATAATATTAGATAAAAATTAATAATAAAAATATAAATATATTAAAGAAATGAAAATAAAAATATATATTATAATAATAAATAAAATAAAATATATGACATTAAAAATATATTTAAAATATGATATTATATAAAAATTAATAATATAAATATAATAATATAAAATAAAATATAAAGTATTATAATAATAAATAAAATAAAATATATGACATTAAAAATATATTTAAGAATGATATTATATATAAAATTAATAATAAAATATAAATATATTAAAAATAAAATATAAAGTATTATAATAATAAATAAAAATAAAATATATGATATTAAAATAAATTTAAGAAATAATATTAGATAAAAATTATATAAAAAATATAAATATATTAAATTTATATTTTAATAATTAAGGGTAATTTTGATAATTAGCATTACATTCCCACTAAAGTACTTATAAATCAAATACTGTAATATTATCTTCTCTGTATTTTAATCATTATTTTTCTTACATACTAAACACTGTAATGTTATTTTCCCTGTAATCACATTGCTTGCAATCACATTACTTGCAATTATATTACCTATAATCATATTACATTATAATATACAAAACGGCACATAAGAATAAAACGTATACAAAAATTTCATCGTATACTAATATCAAAGAAAGATGGCTTTCTGGCGATCTAGTCAGCGCTCAATGGACATCGTGCAGCATAAAAGACAGAACAGGGCGGCTAAGTACAGTAATCAAGTCACTGAATATTGCGCCTGCGTCCAATTTATAATATTTTGATGGACTGATGGTCACATTTGACCCGTAGGCTGCTTTTTAATTAGCTTTACTGATCAAAGCAATGGTTTATATCTTTAGAAATAAAAGTAGATGATTAAAAGAATATTTGAGCCACCAATGAACTAACCAAGAATTTGCAAATAGAGCCCATCCATCAAATTCTACACTCCAATCAACTTTGGTTCAACTCTCCTTAGAACACAGCCAATCATATACATAATTTTTTATAACCAATTTGAAGAGTAGAAAAACCTTTCCTCTTATTCTTAACAAAATGGCGAACAAACCAATGATTAAAGAAGGATATAGCCTTTGGTTTGGTGTGGGGGGTTTAACCTAGTTAACGATGAACCGAAAATGTACGCATGTATTATATGGACCGCTCTGTCTTTCGTTTTCAGTAACATCTGAGCCATCCGTTTCCAATTAGCATAGTCAAGTTTTCTCCATTGCCCTTTCTTCGGTGAACTTAGCCAACCGACCATGTCACAGAAACCGCACATGGTCATGTTAACAACTCCACTCATGGTTCATCTCATTCCACTAGTTGAATTTGCCAAAAACCTTGTTCCCTCCACGACTTGACTGTGAGTCTCATCGTTCTCATGATTGGGCCACCAACAAAAGCGCAAACGGACCTCCTGGAAGCTCTCCCTCACAGCATAAGCCCATCCTTGTTTCACCAGTTAGCTCTAACCCTGAAACGAGGGTTTCCACAGCAATCACGCGCTCTGTCTTCACTTCGCCACGTGTTCAAGTCATTGTTGAAAGTAACAGACCCACGGCTTGGCTGTTAATCTTTTCACCACTGATGTTTTTGATGTTGCAATGGAATTTGAGATCCCATCATATGTCTACTTTCCCTCAGCTATGTCTTCGGCTCTTATGTTTGCCCTGCCAAGGTTAGATGAGACCGTTTCCTGTGACTTCAAGGACCTTCCTGGACCACCGATATTGCCAGGGTCCATCCCTGTTCACGGTAGAGATTTTCCTGTAGAGCTGCAAGATCGAAGCTAAGATTCATATACGTGAATGCTTACACAGGCAAATCGATACAGCTTAGCTGAGCGTGTGATATTGAACAACTTCACGGACTTGGAACCAGAAACTATAGAGGCTTTGCAACAAAAGGAACCCAATAAGCCTCCCGTTTAAGCTATTGGGCCACGCTTACAAACCGGTTCGAGCGTGGGCTTGATGAGTGTCAGTGTCTTAAATAGTTAGATGATCAACCGAGTAGTTCTAATTTGTTTGTTTCATTTGGCAGCGGGGTGACACTGTCCTTTGATCAGCTCACCGAATTAGCATTGGGCTTAGAAATGAGTGAGCAAAGATTCTTATGGGTTGTAAGACCTTCCAATGAAAAGTCTGCTATGGGCTCGTATTTTGTCCACAAAGTAGAAGAGAACCTTTGGACTTTTTGCCAGAAGGATTTCTCGATAGGACCAAAGGAAAGGGTCTACTACTGCCATCTTGGGCTCCATAAAAAGAGATTCTAGGTCATGGCTCGACTGGTGGCTCCCTAACCCATGGTGGCTGGAATTCTGTTCTTGAGAGCATTGCCAATGGCTGTGAGTGAGGGTGGGTCGTCCACGAAATCACTCCGTCAGCTAGTGCTCAAATGGAAGAGCCAGAAGAGCATATGAATTCAAACTTGTTTCATCCTCCATAAAAATTCCATGTAACAAGGGACTGCCGGCTGGATTCTTCGTTTGTTTCATTTTAGTTAAAAACGTGCTGTTTCATTTCAATGACACTATTTTGTGTGAACCAAAGTGGCTTCATTGAATTGCGAGCTAACACCTGTCCTGCCAAGGTGATCTGCACCCCCTTTCTTTCTCCATGAATATGCATAAGTTCCAATTACTTGAGGAAAGTCAATTCAAAGTGTCGGCATAGAGTAAGGAAGGATTTTAATTAGTGGATCAACAAATTCAACCTCAATTTTTCCAATACCCGGTTGGAAAGCAAGTCCCAAGCCAATTTCTTAGTCTCCAAACGTCTTTGTTTTTGGTAAAAAAACATAGAATGTTATCAGGTATTTGTTTATTCTATTGTTCTCTAGAAGATTGGTGAGTTGTTATCGTGCGCGTTGAATAAAGTTGTGCGCCATGATCTCTCTGAAGAAATGCTTGATAACGATGTCATCGTTTCCTTGTGAACATATATATAAGACACCTTCCTGAACCAATCCAGTTCTTGGGGTGTACCACAGTGGCTCACTGGGAAGACCTGACAAACTTTGGTCAACATCCCAAAAACTCCCCCTAGGGACAAATTAAGATATGATGCTGCCATGACTGTATATCTTGTCCTCTATAAATCAAGATCCTTAGCCTGTGGATATCTTACCCACATTGGATGAAATTCTATTGTCAAACCTGCAGAGAAATGTTTCTTTACTCCCAGAGCATTAAGATTATAAATGCAGCAATTTTTAGGTGGAATAAAACAAGTGGCACGTTGAGACCAAAAATTAATGGAAAATGGGTAATGGCCCCCAATCATACATATTGACTCTTGAGACTAATTCCAACATTGCAATATCGAAATGGAGGCTGACGAGTACTCTAAAGAACTCTTTTCAATATCTAAATTGGAGCTCGAGTGGACAAATCCAAAAGGATATAGCTTATAACCGAGAATGGAGTTGGCTTTTTCAGTTTGGTTGCATGTCTATCCAATCTGGACTTAACATTATTACACGAAGAGTTTGTTGTATATATGGTTTCTGTAGCAAATCAAATTTCTTCGCAACGGCTTTTCTGTCTTATGTGCTTATCATCATGATGTACATGGGAATTGGTCACGCTAAAGCGAAACATTACATGACAGCATATTCAGACGTAGGTGCGAGTCCGTTGGAGATTTATTAACCATATATATAAGCATAACAAGTCAATCAAGGGATTGGATTAATGATTAAAATAAGACTGAAGTAAGTAAAGTCGTCAAAGGATTTATCGTTTTATTTTATTTTTTGGATAAGTGAAAATTTTTATTTATCCTAGCAGAGGAACGAAGAATACCTTGTCACT